GGGGGTTAACATGCCACGTTTCCCACCCCCCCCTCCCCCACTTTGCCCAAACCAGGACACGGCCGGCCAGGAGCGGTACCGCACCATCACCACCGCCTACTACCGCGGTGCCATGGGCTTCATCCTGATGTACGACATCACCAACGAGGAGGCCTTCAACGCCGTGCAGGACTGGTGAGTTCCCTGGGGACATCCCCCCTCACCCCCCAACCATGTTGTTGTCCGTCCCCCCACCACCTTCACGGGCATCCCCCTCCCGGTTCCGTGCTCTGCCCCTCCATCCCGCGTGATTTCCCTCTTTCCCTTCCCCGAAGGTCCACCCAGATCAAGACCTACTCCTGGGATAACGCCCAGGTCCTGCTGGTGGGGAACAAGTGTGACATGGAGGACGAACGTGTCGTCTCCTCGGAGAAGGGCCGCCAGCTTGCTGAGCACCTGGGTGAGTTGGCCGCCCCCCTCCCCGCCCCATCTTCCCACAAATAATTTAATTAGGGGCTTAATTCCCTCGCCGTAATTCTTCTGCTTCAATAGCAGCGGTGACTTGTCACCTAAGGAAAAAAATAAGGTGTAATTAAGCCGTGAGCGCCGGGGTGCGATGGTGGTTTTTATTACAGACCCGTAAACCTGCCGCCGGCTGCGGAGAGGTGCCGGGTGGGGAAAATTGGGTGTCGCTGGGTGGGCGCAGGGGCAGGTTGCAGCCGGGTGGTCTGGGCGTGCGGCACACGCAGCCCTTTCCATCTTTAACGAAGGGAGGAGGAGCCGTGAAAGGTTTCCCAGGTCGGGTGGCTGGATGCAGGGCGGCAGCGGATGGGGTGGGGGTTTGCAGCCCTGATGTCGTTGTCTTGTGTCCCCCCCCCGCCCCAGGTTTTGAATTTTTTGAGGCCAGCGCTAAGGACAACATCAATGTCAAGCAGACCTTCGAGCGGCTGGTGGACATCATCTGCGAGAAGATGTCGGAATCGCTGGACACGGCCGACCCGGCAGTCACCGGCGCCAAGCAGGGCCCCCAGCTCACGGACCAGCAGGCCCCCCCGCACCAGGACTGTGCCTGCTAGGGCCAGCCTCCCCACCCC